AGGATGTATTAGTGGCACAATCCCTGTGTACTTGCCAACGGTGTTCTTGTCCCTTTTTACTTTCTGTTTCGTTTCCCGTTTTCTTCCATTTTATCACTTGCAAAAAAAAGAAACCTGCTTGTAGGAAACAGGGCGGATGCCAGAGAAGCAGCCAGAGGCACGTGACTCTCTCAGATGCATTTTCTCTGTCTTCTGTTTTGTGGCTTCATTTGCTCTGTCACTAGTGGAGGGCGGTGGAAGGGCCTCCAGCTCTTATAGATTAATTAATCACCTTAGGTTCCCACAGCCCGCGTCTTTGGCTGCGAAGAGTTGCAGAAGGACTTTGTGACAGCAAGTGATTTGACTATAATATAGCGGGTGAAGATCTAGCATTGATAAGTGGAAAATGATGCATATGTCAGAGCAAAAAGGATAACGCTGATGCCCTCCATACTATCTGATACCACTTGGGAAAGAGATCTGGGGGACTATAATACGTAGTTCTATGAAAGTGTCAGCTCCATGCTTAGAAGCAGTCTAAAATGTGATTGAAATATTAAGAATTATTAAGAAGAGAAAAACACAGAGCACCATTGTGACTTTGTATTGTGAATGGTAGCCCACCCTTTTGAAGGTCGTTTGCTCCTCTTGGAACATAGCAGGAGTAGAGGAGAGGTTGAGAAGTGAGAGGGATGAGCAAAGACGGGGAGCAGCTTCTGTACAAGGAACAACTAAGTAGTTTCAGATTCTTCAACTTGAAAAAGAGACAGTAGGAGAAAGAATAACAGATCTACGCTGTCACGAGTGTACTGGAGGGGCTGAGTAAAGAACAACGATTTCTTGCCTTTTCAGACAGATCCTGGGGTGTCGAATGGAATCTGTGAGCGGCAGGCTTCAGACCTGCGAAAGCAAGGGGTTGTTTAGGCGAAGCGCAATTAAACTATGGAGCTGGAACCATGCCCTTAGCCTCTCCCTTCTTGCTTGAGAGCAGCCAGCCGGATCCATTGCCCTGGTTAGCTCGGTGTCCTCGCCTTGGCAATAATCTGTAGCAGAAAGCTAGGGAAGAGCACAGGGCCCAAGCAGCGTCCCTGTGGGGGACAGGATACTGGGCTGAACGGGGCAGTGAGTGCAGGCTGGCTGCATCTGCAGTGAGGAATGGCCAAGAGCTGTCCTGCCACTGCTTCAGGGTTCCTGCAAAGGCACTGGAGTAACCCAAAGGCTGGCCTTGGCTGAGTGTCCTCTGTTCTCCTGCAGCACCAGGATTTCTCCTGAGCCTGTAAGAACACCAGAGACTGTAGACTCCACCTTTAGCCTCTTCCTCACGGAATTCCCAGAGCCTCCGGAGCTGGATCCTCTGACTGGGCCTGAACAGGGCCTATGTATCTGCATCGATTTAAGGTATTTGCTTGCTGCAGAGAGCTTTTCCTGAATTCTAGACTATTCAAACCCTAGCTTGTTCTGCTTTGTAATTCCTTTCAGTCTTTGCTGTCTATTCTATTTCTAATATTTCTATTTCTATACACTTCTATTTGTTTCTGTCATATTTACTTAATGCTTAATTTCTGAGACTGATGTGATGGTCACTGTGTAGATGGATATTGGAAGTCAGTCTCTACCCTGCCTTGCTTACAAGAGATAGAAGGACGGAGGAAAAAAAACCAGATGTGCGTGGAAGCGAAGTGACTCGCTGTGATTAAGTGAATACTCTGGCAGAGCCAGAGGAAAAAATAAAAATCCTCTTCTCCTCCGGTGGTGTTCTCACTTCAGACTACCCCCTCTGTTTTGCGGAAGGGAAATGGAAAGTAATGAAATCAGAGATTAGGTGTTGAAAGTCACAGAAAGGCTGCAAGATTTGCTGGACTGAGATTTCCTGCCTGTTTTGTACTTGGACCTTACTGCCTCTCTCTCACTGGAATAATTTAACTTCAAATCTTATTTCTTGAAAGTAAAAGCAGACTTTTCTTACCCTTATCCTACAGGAGTTTGTGCTGTCAGAGGTGACGTCTCCAGAAAAGAGCAGTTTGGAGTATCACACCTAGTAGGAGTGGGAAATTGTTGTGAAGATTTCTGCGGTGGACTTGCACAGAAACCACAGACAAAGTAAAACTTCTGCTGCTAATGTGTGGCGTGACACTCTAAACTGCTGGTGGGGGATGTGGGTAAAAGCTTATCCAGAAGCATTTAGACTGTCTTGTGAAATAAGTAGCTGGCCTTAAAAATTTGCAGTTGCTGGGGGGAAAGAGAGACAATGTGAAGAACAACAATTAAGACTTTAGTGGATATGGCCAGAAAAAGAGAACCAGAGTCCATGGGCCAAATCCCAGGGTACAGAGAAAATTATGTCGCTCATGTTAGCGCTCCACCTCATTGACAGAGAATGTTCAAGTCTCTCATTTCTGACTCTTGTCTTCTTCCCCCTTTTGCTTGCAAGCCTCGCCATGCTGCTTTGCTGCATCCTTTTTACAGTGAGGAATTAGTGTTTCTTCCTTGTTTTCTGTGAAGAAAGAAAACTGGAGAAGTTTGGGGGCAGCTATTTTTCTCTCCTTGGTTGACTTGCAAAGTGTCGCGTGGCAGAACTAGCTTAAGGAAAGCACTGCTATGGATGATTGGCCTCCTTCAAATCAAAGGGTTTTCATGTCTAGGGCATGACGTGCTGGCCCACTTTTGGGCCTGTTGTTGGAGCAGACATTGCCGGGCGAGCTTGAAAACTCTCGTGTATTGCCCCTTACGACTTGTTAGTGACTTTCCAAGAGGAAATAAACCGCTTTTCCTCCTGCTTTAACCGCTGGAGCTCTTGGGAGCTGATTTCCATCCCACTGCTGTCCCAAGAGCAGGCTTTGCCTATTCTGCTAGTGGTTGCTGCTGGAGGAGCAAAGCACCAAGGTTCAGGGGATGTAGGTGAAGGAGCAGTTAGAGGGCAAGTGCTAACAAGCTCTGCTCTCCTCTGTTTGTCCTGCTTGGCATATGCTAGTTGCATCAATTGCCTTGTGTTTTGTCCCAGTTTTCCTGCTCTAGGTTTTTTTCCGGATAATGGCGAAGATGGTGAGAAGAACGTGTGCGTTTTGTTCAGAAGGGGAGGCTGGTTCTGTAATGTATGTTGCCAAAGAGCGAAATATTGCAGCTCATCAGGATTGTCTGGTGAGTGGCTTTTAGTGGGTCGGTACCTAAGAGGAATGGAGAAGAAGGGCTAAAGGGGAAGTTTCCACTGCTTGTCTGGTTTTGACACTACAATGGTGTCTGAATTAAAAGGTTGGTTCCACAAACCAGCAAGCTTATATTAGGTTGAAAAGCAACAAGCCTTGGCCACAGTTTTGGAGAGGGGGAGGACATGGCTGCACAGCTGGACATGTTGATTTGATTGTGTTTTCATGCATGTCCACATACAGTCTATCAGTAGGAATAGGCCTTCCTGAGACCCTAAACTGAATGAGGCTTCTCAAACCACAGAAGAAAGTTGTGTATTTAATGAAACCTTTGCAGGAAAATATTCACATCACTTGATATATCAAAGTAAAAAACTTCCCAGTCTGTGCCTTGTATAAACTAAGGAATAAAAAATGTTAGATGTTGGGGAAGCTCTGAGTGCACTGCGATCCTAGAATGCATTTACTCTTCTGTCGTGGTTTAACCCGGCTGGCAGCTAAGCAGTGATGCACAATGCAATTGCTCACCACCCGCTGACCGGTGCCCAGCCCGTCCCGAGCAGCGATCACTCCCCCCCGAGCTGCGATCACTCTGCCTGCGACCGACCGACTGACTAACCCCCCCGAGCATGATGTTATATGGTATGGAATAGCTCTTTGGTTATTTTGGGTTAGCTGTCCTAGCTGTGCTGTACTCCCAGCTTGTTATGCACCTGGCCGAACAGGAGAAGCTCAAAAAGTCCTTGAGTATTCTGAGCGCTACTTGGCAACAACTGAAAACATCAGTGTGTTATCAACATTCTTCTGGTACTAAATCCAAACCACAGCACTATGCTAGCTACTAGGAAGAAAATTAACTCTATCCCAGCTGAAACCAGGACATCTTCTTGCTGTCAGAATGCCTTCCCTTTGTTCTGGGTTCTTAGTGAAGCTGGTTCTTGGTGTGCAGAATCAATTGCGGATGATGTATTCTCCCTTCAGGAGGGTTGCTTAGTGTAGGAGGTGCCTCTGCTGTTGGGGCAGCACTCTGGCTTTCACTGTTGCAGCCTTCTTATTCTCACGGGTTTTATGTTTACATCTTTATTTTTCTGCTAATTTTTTTTTTTTTAGCAGAATATTTCAGAAACAGCTGAGACCTATTTTACAGTGTTACTTGGATGTTCTGTTTGAAACAGGTTTTGTTAGGGCTATAATGTTGCTTCAGTGTTGAAACTTTTTCCCTCTCTTCTGGCCGCCTCCCCCAACAATAACAACTTTACTAATTTCTCTGCCTTGGGTTTCTCTGCGCTGTTACGCTTTTCTGCAGTTAGCTATCGCATTCTGAGCAGACAGGCTGCCTGCCAGTTGACATAAGGGTAGCTCGCTTTTGTTTGGAATTAGTTATATATAATGATTAGAAGAAGTTGCTAAGAAATTCCCCTTCCTCACCTATTGTCATGGCTCAGCACTTCTGTGGGAATTAAAAGCGGCCGGAATGTGCATGTGTGTATTTTTTCCCAGGCTTTGTACAATGTTCCTATGTTTCTTACGCAGCCAACTGTTGTCAGTATTGGACTGCATGGAAATTTTATTACAGAGAACTGTTGCATTCAGCTGTACACCTGAACAACTGGGCAGATAAAAGATGTTCAAGGTGTGGAGGTCTGTCAGCCAAAGAGCTTCTCGTCCTTACTCTGGGCAGCCTGGACTTCCAGACTTTCTTCATTCACACTTCTTACTAACTTCACCTTCTCACCTTGTTATCTTTTCTTAGTTCACCTTCAGGTCATGTGAGATCTCCTGTATAGACAGAGGAACTTCTTTTGACTTGAAAAGGGTTAAGCGCAGCAACTTGTTCAGCATAGGTAAAATCCCTGAAAAGGACAGAAAAATCAGTCTTGCTTAGGTAGGGCGAGTGCAAGAAGAAAAGATGTACCCTTCCTGTCTTTTTTTTTTTTTTTTTTGGAATGCACTGGTGACTCTGAGTCCCTCTATTAATTGTTAATGCCGTCTCTTTTGTCTTTAGTTATTTTCCTCAGGATTTGTGGAATCTGAAGAGTATAACCCAGATAATCTGGATATAAGGTTTGATGTGGCATCAGTGTTGAAAGAACTCAAGAGAGGAAAGCGGCTGGTAAGGAGTTTCTGAATCTGCACTTAGTCCTGTCTCAGCACTGAAGGTTGTCTGGCCTGTTTTATGCTTAAAAAAAATGCAGAAAAGTACTTGGTCCTCCTGATGCACTGAGCTTAGGGAAATTACAGATTTAGAATTAGAAACATTGATTTGGCATTATATTTGGTGAAATTTAGTTCATTTTGTATTAAAATATGTTGGTTTTTTAGTCCTTAGTCTAAGTTTCCTAAGAGTCTTTGATAAAGGACTAAGCCAGTACCTGAAACAAAATCATGCAATGCATAAGGGGAAGGGAAACAGCGTCCGGTTTTAGCAGAAGGAAGGCTATTTTATATAATGCTTTCTTATTGACTTTGCCCTCAGCTGCCCTTCTCCCTGACATCCTGGGTGGAACACTTTTCGTTACAAAGTTAGCCTAGAAAACATAAATACAAACCCTAATACCAGTAGGTATTGAAATAACTTGGGCCAGATTTAAGGGAGGGGGTGAGGTTGCCCAGTCTCCTCGCATGGCACTTTGCATCATTTTACAAATTCATCAGTATGAAGTAGAGGTAAGATGGCAAAAAGGCAGCTGAAATAATGACCAGGGTAGGAGTGAACTTGCCTGATGAGTTATACAGAGGCGACTTGCAACAAAAGATTTGATTGTCCCGCAGAGGATAGTATTTGCCTCATACAGCAAGATTTTCAGTAGCTGTCTGTAATGCTTACCTGTTAAACCTCATCCTCTTCTAGGTGTGCAACTTCTGTCGCAAGAAAGGAGCCACTGTGGGATGTGAGGAAAGAGCCTGTCGCAGAAGTTATCACTACTTCTGTGCGCTCTGTGATGACGCAGCAATAGAAACGGATGAAGTAAATGGAGTCTACCGGTATTTAACCAAGTATTTTCTAACTAATTTTTGTCAAGGTTTTGGTGGTGGTGTCAGGAAGAGAGACTTAAAAATTCTGTGGGTTTTAAAGTTTTTTTTTAAAAAGGAAATAGGTTCTCCTTTCTTAAAGTGATGCTTGATCCTCTGTTCTCAAGCAGTAGGGGAAATTCACAGGAAAACATCACAGCAGTGGGAAGGAATCTATTCAGTGTCTGAGCCTGCAACACACCTGAAAGATCACTAGGCCAAAACTGAGGAAGTCAGTCCTTACTGGCTATCTAGTCTTCAAATCCTCAATTTCTGTTGGTTCAGAAGCTTCAGTAAATGCGGTCTGAGCACAGGGCGGGCTATAGCGCTTCTAGGTCTCTTCACATTAGGCAAATTCTGGTAATTTTCCCTCCATACGCTAGCAGAGAACTTTGCATTTCCACCAAAGACCTTCTTATGTTTCAAGTACGTTGCTAGCGTCAACACAGTTAAGGAGACTTGAAGTAAATTTTTGTCCTGATCATGCTAGTCCTGGTGTCTGCTGCCCTTGGGCTGCCTGCATTGCCATTAGGTGAAACAAGTTGTTTGGAGGATGCAGATGAAGGGGTTGAGAAATTGGGACTTCAGAGACCTTTTGGAGTGCTGAAGTTATAGTAAAGTCTGAGGTGCATAAACCCCCCCCCCAATGTCCATTTCTGTGCAAGGTCAGAGAGATCACAGGCCATGTTAGTCTTAGATTAACCTGGTACACCACCTAATCACTGCTTGTTTCAGGAAGAGGTCGTCTAGTGCAATCCTTAGTAGTAGTGGAAGATGGGCCCTTTTGTGTCCAAACACTTGCTCTCCTGGCTGCTTCACTAGGGCTCTCAGTCCAAAATAAATACAACTTTCTGCAAGGCTGCAAGCCCAGCTGTGTAGGGAAGATGATAGGTTTAGTTTAA